AATGAAAATACCAATTACCTCTTAGAACACCATTACATTTATTATATACTTGGACATGGACACTGATGGCTTTATGGTTAAAGATAAACCTGAATTATGAAATTTTATTTTAGATGCTTCAGGGTCAAATTCAGAATGTATTTGTGGGAAAAAAGGCCTAATATTTGAGGTTATCTCTTTAAGTCATCTATAACTTCCATTCAGTCTAAAATGTATATTGCAATTGTCATTTAAGATGAAATAGCCAAAGTTTTTTTGTCATGATCAAGAATTTAACTTTATGAATGTGTACATAATATTCAATGAAGATGAACATTGCAGATTTGTGTGTTTCGATTCTTCAATTGCACATTTTATTTTTATGATAGTTGATGAAATAGTTAGACAATTTATTGGTAGTCCCATAGACAGAAAAAATAAAATACATTATACCCATAATTATACAGAAAATATCCTGCAGAATTGCTCCCAGATACTTTATTATATTTTCTTATATATTGTGAACTGTACAGTGATTGTTATACTAAAGTTTATAATTATATCTATTAATGCTCTTGTGCATTTCATGCATTTTTTTGCAATACAGTGGAAAGGACAAGATGCCCATCATGCAAATATTCATGACACAGCAATAAATAAAGTATTTTTCTTGTTTATTGGAAATTATAACAGGAATCAAACAAACTATCACTTTTAGTTTTTCCAACACAAAAAATTGGTTGAAGACACTGAGCACATTTACCTTGTGCCTAGACCTAATGGCCATGGCTGCTGATAAATCCAAAGCCGCCGATTAAAAAAACCCCAAACTGGAAAGAGAGAGAAAAAGAAGAAAAGTATATACAGTATATGTATGCAAGAATATATCTTTCTTTTTTCTTTGACTTTCTCTCTTATTTTCTGTGTTCATCAACCCATTTTTGAAAGCTCAAGGTTTTTTAAATTCAGTATATTTTTTCCCATGCCTGACCATGCCCAGAAAAAATGTAAAACGACAAATACCTCCACCCATGATCTCTGAAACACTTAAATGCATGATGCACAAAAGGGTTAATAGCAACAGATTATATATATATAATTATATATATATATATATATATATATATATTATATATATATATATATATATATATATATTATATATATATATATATTATTATTATATATTATATTATTTATTTATTTATTTATTTATTTATTTGTTTATTCATTAATATTATAATGGTAATTGTCATTACATACCATCTCAAAGAAGGCAGATCATGCTCTGTGTCAAGACAAAATGGCATGTGTGGTAATACAAAAACAAACTGTTAAATATTTATTAATTTTAAGTTTATATTTTTAACTCTAAAGGTGTTTCGTTACTGTTGATAAATTGTAAAAGATTTTTTTATATTACTCAAAGCAATAGATTTCAGAGAATATATAATGTATGTTGTAGGTGTATCTACATGTACAATATTTCACAATAAGACTCTCATGAAAATAATAACAGATATACAATATAAACTTATACATGACTAAGCATGTATAGCTTTAAAACCATGTGTAAAAAGTTAATTGATAAAATCAGTGTTTATATCCCAGATGGTGGTTTTCTGATTTGTGTATTTTTATATCCATCAAATCCATTTTTAACATTTCATACATGATACATTGTTTAATTCTCATTGTATATTTATCTTCTATTTATATTTATGAATGGATTACCCAATGCTACCAGGTATGGTATATATGCCATGCCATGCCCATACACAGAGATAGCTCAACAAGTGCTTCGTCATCAATGAGTCAGTCATTAGTCACAGTCACAGTCACGTATCCAACCTTTTACCCTTTACAAAGATTTTTGGAAATATTTATTTAAATCATACATTGATTTTAGTATTTTTGTGAACACTGTAATAATTATAATGTCATTGATGATAATAATAACAGCATCAGTATTTATAGCATTAGGGGAAAAATATGTATCCCCCCAAGAAATAGGAAGGGGGAAAATCAGATGAGGTTACATATACTGGTTGTCTCCTTGGTGGCGGAGGACTTGTAGAGCCATCTGTGCATAGATACATTTCACAAAATAATAGTACAGTGAAACATTTTTCTGGCAGCATTGGGTTAATAAGCTGTATTTCCTTTAATTATTGCCTTTTTAAATAAACATTGATTCTGGTAGTAGTGCTTTCATGCATATAAACCAAGTCATGGTTTTCTTTTTAATAATATAATTTTCCCTTTTTCCCTTTAAAACTTAGCTCAAATCTGCCTTTTTCTATTATATGTAGT